CATGCGTCATCTGGTATAATTGAAACGATTGGCTATGAGCTATGTACAGGCGCATTTGATAGACATTCGTAGCACCCAATAAACGGCTCTGGGCATTCGTAAACCATGCCTCAAATACGAGAAAATTAACATGTGGTTCCCAGACCACGTCTCAATGTCAATGAGACGTGGTCTGATGTTAGCCAGGCTAGTTTTCCGCGATAATCTTTCTAAACTCATGGCTTCAGAGAGGAAGTGGCGCAAATCGAAAGACCCTACTCACCTTGGTTTGAATCAATCCCTCCTCTCTTCCTTCTCTGCTAATGTCTCTACATGACTAATGACTTACTACCACAACAAAATGAACAATTCTTCTGACTCTCACATGCTTTTCAAAACCTTCTCTCTTCTTAACCCTCATCCTCCTTCATCAACCCTAACAGCTGATGACTTTGCCACATTCTTCATAAATAAAAAAAACACCATCAGCAGCCAATTTTCCACACCACAATTTGACACAGACATCTTAACAGCTAACACACATCAGCTCTCGGAGGGAGAAGTCTCCAAACCCGTCCTTTCCAATCACCCTTCTGTCCACTTGATCCTGTCCCCACTCATCTCCTTCAAGCCATTTCTTCCTCAGTTGTACCCAAATTCACTCACATCATTAGCACCACTCTTCATACTGGTACCTTTCCAACGGCATTTAAGCAGGCTCAGGTAACCCCACTGCTTAAGAAACCCACTCTAAATACGACACATCTAGAAAATTACAGACCGGTATCCCTTTTTCCATTCATTGCTAAAACACTTGAATAAACCTTTCTTGCACAGAACAACCTCCTGGACAACAACCAGTCTGGTTTCAAAAGTGGCCACTCAACTAAGACTGCCCTGCTCCCGGTTCCTGAAGCTCTGAGACTAGCATGAGCAGCTTCCAAATCCTCAGTACTCATCCTGCTGGGTCTGCTGCTTTTAACACCGTTAACCACCAGATCCTCGTGCCAACCCTCAAGAAAAAGGGCATCTCAGGAAACGCACTCCAACGGTTCAAGTCTTACCTCTCAGGTAGATCCTTCAGGGTGTCATGGAGAGGTTAGGAGTCTAAGTGGCAACATCTAGCTACTGGGGTGCTTCAGGGGTCAGTGCTTGGACCACTTCTTTTCTCCATCTACATGTCATCACTAGGATCTGTCATTCAGAAATGTGTTTTTTCTTATCACTGCTATGCTGATGACACACAACTCTACCTCTCATTCCATCCATCTCAGGATCCGACGGCATCTGCTCGCATCTCAGTCTGCCTGAGAGACAATTCTTGCTGGATGAAGGACCGCCACCTTCAACTAAACCGTGCAAAGACAGAGCTGCTTGTTGTCCCTGCCAACCCAACACTACACCACAACTTCTCCATTCAGCTAGCTTCGTCAACCATAACTCCATCCAGGACTGGATTGCCAATTGCACTGGTTGCCAATTGCTGCTCGCATAAAATGCAAGGCTCGACACCCCTATACCTAAACTCATTACTCAAGACTTTCCATCCAGAAGCTTGCGTTCTGCAAGTGAACGGCGCCTTGTGGTTCCATCTCAAAGAGGCACAACATCACTTTCACAGACCTTCACCTAGACTGCTCCATGCTGGTGGAATGACCTGCCTAACTCAACCCGAGCTGCTGAGTCTTTTTCTTGAGCCATTTTCAAGAAATGCATATTTTCAGCAACACTTGAACCATTAATACTAAAACTTACGATTCTATATCTATTTCAAAAACAACAACAAAAAACAACAACAACCTTTCTACGTGTACTGTGCTGGACTAACTGGGGGATTATCACGGCACTTTCATACTGTTGTCCAATTGTTAGTTTGATTGCTTGCTCTCCTCATTTGTAAATTGCATAAAAGTTGCTAAATGATTAAATGTAAAACTTTGGAACACAACACGAATCTTTTTTAATGAAACCTGATATAGGGCTGTGAAACGATTATTCGCAATTAATCGCATCCAAAATAAAAGTTTGTGTTTACATAATATATGTGTGTGTATGGTGTATAATTGTTTTATATATAGCCTATATATATATAAATACACACATGCATGTATATATTTAAGAACAATATATACAGTTAGGTCCATATATATTTGGACACAGGTGCAATTTTCACACTTTTGGCTCTGTATGCCACCAGAATAAAATTAAAATGAAACAATCAGGATGAATTTGAAGTGCAGACTTTCAGCTTTAATTCAAGAGGTTGAACAAAAATATCAAGTAAAAATTTTAGAAACTGCAACCATTTTTATACACAGTCCCCCCATTTTCAGGGGCTCAAATGTAATTGGACAAATTAATATAATCATTAATAAAATGTTTATTTTTAATATTTTGTTGAGAATCCTTTGCAGGCAATGACTGCCTTAAGTCTGGAACTCATGGACATCACCAAAGACTGGGTTTCCTGCTTTGTGATGCTTTGCCAGGCCTTAACTGCAGCTGTCTTCAGTTGTTGTTTGTTCGTAGGTCTTTCTGCCTTTAGTTTTGCCTTCAGCAAGTGAAATGCATGTTCGATCGGGTTGAGATTAGGTGATTGACTCGGCCATTGCAAAATTTTCCACTTCTTTTCCTTAAACTCCTGGGTTGCTTTTGCGGTGTGTTTTGGATCATTGTCCATCTGTACTGTGAAGCGCCTTCCAATCAACTTTGCTGCATTTGGCTGAATCTGGGCAGACAGTATATTCCTATACACTTCAGAATTCATCCGGCCGCTTCTGTCTTCTGTCACATCATCAATAAACACCAGTGATCCAGTTCCACTGGAAGCCATGCATGCCCATCCATCACACTGCCTCCACCATGTTTTACAGATGACGTTGTATGCTTTGGATCATGAGCTGTTCCAAGCCTTCTCCATACTTTTTTCTTACCGTCATTTTGGTACAGGTTGATCTTTCATCCGTCCAAAGAATGCTTTTCCAGAACTGGTCAGGCTTTTTTAGATGTTTTTTGGCATAGTCTAATCTGACCTTTCTATTCTTGATGCTTATGAATGGTTTGCACCTTGTGGTGAACCCTCTGTATTTGCTCTCGTGAAGTCTTCGCTTGATTGTAGACTTTGACAATGACACGCCTACCTCCTGGAGAGTGTCCTTCACTTGGCTGGATGCTGTGAATGGTTTTTTCTTTATCATGGAGAGGATCCTGCGATCATCTACCACTGTTGTCTTCCGTGGACGTCCAGGCCTTTTTATGTTGCTGAGCTCACCAGTGCATTCTTTTTTTCTCAGAATGTACCAAACTGTTGATTTGGCCACTCCTAATATTCCAGCTATCTCTCGGATGGATTTATTTTGTTTTCGAAGCCTAATGATGGCCTGTTTGACTTGCATGAAGAGCTCCTTTGAACGCATGATGTAGGTTCACAGCAATAGATTCCAAATGCAAATACCACTCTTAGAATCAACTTCAGACCTGTTACCTGCTTAATTGATAAAGAAATAACGAAGGAATAGCCCACACCAGTCCAAGAAACCACTTTTGATTCAATTGTCCAATTACTTTTGGTCCCTTGAAAAAGGGGGGTGGCTACTCTCAAGAGCTGTAATTCCTAAACCCTTCCTCCAATTTGGATTTAAATACTCTCAAATTAAACCTGAGAGTGTGCACTTTCAGCCCATATCCATTATATAACTATAGCTTGAATATGTTTTGGTAAATATCTTAAAAAAAAAAAATTGTGCCTGTGTCCAAATATATATGGACCTAACTGTATATTTAAGAAAATAGTTCTATCTATAATATAAATTATATATAAATATACAGTATATACATGCAAATATTTCTTAAATATATACATGCATGTGTGTTTATTTATATATACCAATTAATTATACACCGTACACACACACATATATGTAAACACAAACTTTTATTTTGGATGCGATTAATCCCAGTTAATCGTTTCACAGCCCTAACCTGAGAGTTTCTGTCCCTCCATTGACAGCTACACAACTATCACTTTGTCCCTTCAAAAAGTTCATAAAGAGATCATAAAACCAATCCATATGAATTGAGCGGTTTAGTCCCAATAAAGTTCATTCTCGTTTTACGCAGCACGTTTGAGCTTCTGCAAGAGGTTTGTTCTCGCGCATCAAGCAGGTTCGGTTAAGCTTCTGTTTATGTTTATAAGTGAATAAAAGCATAAATTAAATCCGTTCATCATATAAAATGATCATGTCTTTTCAGAAAATTTATACTAAATCGCTCCATTCATTTGGATTAGCTTTACGATGTCTTTATGAACTTTTTGAAGCATCAAATAAGTAGTTGCTTAGTTGTAAATGGAGGGACAGAAAGCGCTGCAGATTTCATCAAAAAGATCTTCATTTATGTTCCAAAGATGAACGAAAGTCTCACAGCTTTGGAACGACATGAGGGTGAGTAACTAAAGACACCGAGTTTATGCAACTGGCCCAGGCTACTACAGGTAAACAGGGCTGATTCTGGAGATATCAAACCTCAACCACATGAACACAGTACGACCTTCCCAATAAAGACTTTAAGCATCCGCAAAGGAGGTTAAAAAGATGAAGTTATCTTAAATATCCAACAAAAACCAAATAGTTCATATGCAATTTATTGTAGTGTATATTCTGTATCAAGAAAATCATGTGGCAACAAGATTGCACATTAATATGTTATGATAATTAAAATTATAGAATTAGATCATATTAGTTACTATAAGATATTGGTGTGCAACCTTGTTGCCACATGCTTTTCTCTTTACATAAAAAAAAAAATTCAGGAATCCATTCATGGAACATCCAGGAACATGTAACGGTTACTGGGTGAAATCACGCAATGCACATAATACTGTCGTTATTTATCGGTTTGAGACATTTACTGTATATATCTCCAAAATTACATTACATTTCTCTTTTCTCTTTTAAACAATCCTTAATCGAGTTACTCACTCATCTGCAGGTTATTTAGACCATTCTATCAAAACACACACACAAGGGATCTGATTTTTTTATTGATGTTTCTCTGAAATTATTTGAATTTGACATTTTTCTTTTTACAAGACATTTTACAGAAAATCAAAGTTAGCTTGGTTAAAGTCAAAATAAAAGTAAAAAATAATTAGACGTTTTAAATGGAGTTTGGAGAGAAAACGGTTAAATAGACCTGTACCAATACATACAACATGGGAATTCCCCGATATTTAAACAGTTTAATGGCAGGTACCATGTGGCTGCTCGACATTTACTCTGAGATGCATAAAAAGCATCTGACTGTAGGTTAACAAACATATTTCCCACAAGCCTTCGCAATTCTACAACTTTTCCCAGCATTCCCGATGAGAGCCCCTGTCTGGCTCGAGGTTGACATGCATGAAGACTTGAAGAGAAAAACATTTCCTGTGAGATTGAGATGTTTTTTGGACTTTGGCTTGACTTTTCACCTGAATATGAATTCAGTCCAAGTCCTCATCTCAGTATTCAATAATTTATATCACTCTCAAAAACCTTTCTGTCCATAATGCATCACTTCCTGTAACCTTAGCATGCCAACACCATGATGGTAAACACTTTTATGAAGAAACAACCACATAAATTCTGCCATGTCAGTCAAATGAAAGTGCAGAAATATTATTAAACATCATTAAACTATTACATTTCTGCTTCCAACACACAAACAGTCCCAGGGTGCTGCTGCACAGCTTGTCATTACTAACGATGACATGACAAATATTGCTACAATGTTGTTTTTATGTTGTTTTGTTCCCCTAACATGTTGACAGGTTACAGACATGTCATCAGACTACAAACATACACACATCTATCATGGTCAGCAGAGAGCTAGCTAAATTAACTTTTTTTTTTTGCATTGACGTCTTTGCGACAATATGGCCAAATGAAAAATGTTCTCATGTGGGCAGCAGGGGGCAAGAGAGAGTGCTGGGGTTTTCTTACCAGCAGAAACAGGGAATGAGAAGTGGAGGTGGTGGATGAGTGTTTGGGATAGTTATAGGAGGATTAGAGAGAGGTGAAGTAAATCTAGGACTCAGGATGAGCGATGGCCCTACCTAATGATATGTTTTGAGGGGGGTTACACCATAAGAGCCGCCCCTCATTGGACAGTCGTTTAAAAAAGGGACAGAAGGGATACAGAGAGAGTTCTCCAGTTACAAGTGAGTGTTAAAATAATCAGCTGTTTGTCAGACAACAGCTTATGCAGACAGACGTGAGAATCTGGCTTAGAGTATCAAGTAACTCTCACAGTGTGTGTTTGAGTGTCTCTGCCAACAGTATCGACGTCATTTTGGGTATTTCAGTCACTGCGGTCGGAGTAAAAACACAGTACAACTCTAAGTCAAATTGCTGTAAACTACGTCAAAAACTTTTTGGGAAGGCAATTAAAATTGTATGATGGGATACATGAGATGACGCCATGAGTGTTAGCGTGTGTTTGAGAAAGTATGGACACTGATATTGACTGATATTACATTTTAATTGTGAGAAAGTGCATGTGTGTGATTCCATGACAAAAAATTACTAGTGCTATATTTAGCTCTCAGTAAATGAAGGGTGGGGAGGGAGGCTACTTTAGGGGGCCGGCCTACAGGAAGTGATGTAATAGCACCAGTATATCAGATGATGAGAAAGGTGAATTTATAGATGGAAATGTAATTAAAAAAAAAGACAAAAAGTGTCAGAAATGCTATACGGAAGAGAGATTAGAGGATAGGGAGACCAAAGACAGACAAAAACAGAGCGATAGGCAGTAAAACAGAGAAAAACAGAAAGAGAAGGAGGGAACAAGAAAAAAGACAGTTAAAATAAAGTTTCCAAAATAACTGTTCAGCAAGAATACAAGTGAAAAGTGTGAAAAGCTCTTGAATAAGACTGCATGTGTGTGGAGAGAGAGAGAGAGAGAGAGAGAGAGAGAGAGAGAGAGAGAGAGAGAGAGAGAGAGAGAGAGAGAGAGAGAGAGAGAGAGAGAGAGAGAGAGAGAGAGAGAGAGAGAGAGAGAGAGAGAGAGAGAGAGAGAGAGAGAGAGAGAGAGAGAGAGAGAGATGGCTGAGTGGTCTGTCACTTAAGTGGAAATCTTCACCATTCTGCCACCATTACAGCTCTCAAAAACACAACTGTCAGTGTGTGTGTGTGCAATGGGCGGCTCTCAGCTCTGGGTTTTTGTTGTGAATGTGTGATGTTGTTGAAGTGATGTTATTTTTAAGACTGTGTCCAAACCAGGTGCCAATGCAACAACTTTCGGGCAGCAAGTCATTTGTCTGTACTCCCTGAAAACACAAACTTTAACCTCTTCACCCTTAAGTTATGCCGATAATATAATTTATGATGGATTTTTTTTATGAAAGAAGAAAAACTAGAAGCTCTTCAGATTTTTTAACCTCACTGCTTGCGTAGCCTGATTTTGGACCAATTCGATTTTAATGTGGGTGGAGCTTTCCAGATTAACCTAACAAAGGCAGAACCCAAGCAACCCAAAATATATCTAATTAGAATATATAATAATTATAAAATATATTGTCACAGCTGCGTAAGACGACATCTCCAACAAAACTCATCGAAGATATTGTTTAGCTTGCCGCTTTATCGTGTTGCACCTAGATTGGACACAGAAATATATAAATTTTTTTTAGATTTTTTTGGGGGGATTATAATGAGAAAAACTTCACAGCTCTCCTGTCCTCTCCTGAAGGATTTATCTTTCACTCCTCGCCTCCAAAACTCTCCACCACCCCCTCTTTTCATACCCGTCTCTTTTACTTGAGAGCGATTTTGTGAGCGAGTTGAGAAAAGAACGCTGAGGGACTTGTTTTAGTTTGCCCTTTCTCTCTCTCCTGTTTAGTGAGCTCTAGCTCAATGGTCATAAGAACCCTGTCCTGCCTGCCCAACTCTGCTGCCTCGTCCTGGGCTTGAGCCTGGGTCGAGGCATCCCCACTCAGGGGCTCTAGCTCTCTGCTCCACAATCCCTATTTCTTCTCCCTGCGAGACTCCTGTTTCTTCTTCTCTGATGCTGCTGCCTTCAGCTTGGCCGGATCCATCACAGCTGAAGCCTGGAAAAGAGAGGGAGTGTGGAGAGGGGAGGAGTGAGTCTCTACGGGAGGAGAGCAAGAGAGAGAGATAGAGAGAGAGAGAGAGAGAGAGAGAGAGAGAGAGAGAGGTATAGAAAGAAAGCAAGAAGCAAAGAGAGAAAGGAGGAAGAAGAAGGGCTTGTGGGTTAGGTGGGAATGGTCAGATGAGTTTATCGGATATGAGGAACCAGAATAAGGGAGGTAGTTTCATTACAGAAGAGAAGTGGAAGAAGAAAAGAGAGAGTGAAATGCTAAACAAGTGGTTAGAAGGAGATGAACACCAGGGGAACTTTCGGTTTCTGGAAAGGGAGGACAAAACAGGAAGTGGCCAGTTAGGGAGTGACAGCGTGACATCACAGCACCTAAATAAAAGAACTCATACAGCTGACCTTTGACTCCTTCACCCTCGGGATGCTGAAACATGTTTGATTATCTTTAGTCTTTCCACAAAGAAGATTCACTGTATGTCTGTCAGAAACTTGAAAAGGTGCTGCACATGTAACTCAATTAAAGGTGAAGTGAATCATTTTTCCAAGTAAAACGTTGTACAGTAAGTGGACTTCCTGAACAGAGCAACACTACGCTCTGAGTCCTGTTTGTCAAAACAATGAAAGGGTGATAGAGGGTTTTGGAAAGACAATGTTATTATTTTTTCCAGTTCTGTTTGATGCTACTAGTAGTGCAGAAAGTAAACACTTCACCTTTAAAATTAATATTCCAGAATATAAACAAGTTAAGCTCTCATTTAAACTTGATTATCACAGAATTTAGAAGAACTTGTTTTTAACCAAAAAAATATTTTGTTCTTTGTGATTTCAAATCTATAAATAAGTTCAAGAAAGGCTTACAATAACTGTACATTTTAACTTGCTGCTTTTGTAATACAAATTCTCTTTAAACATATACAACTATGCAGCAAGTTTCCACAAAGGAATTTTAAAGTCCTGAGATCCTAGTTCTAGTCTGTAGCACTCAACCTGCATTCAGTTGAATGGATATTGGAGGGTGGACTGGGTTTACACTGACAGAACCAAGAAAATAAAGAAATGAAAGAGAAAGAGAGAAGCTGACAGGAGACGCATACAGAGGAGTACAAATAGAGGAATGTATACTGAAACAGATGACGGAAAGAAAGAAGAAAGGCAATAAAAAGAGAAAGAACATAAACAATACAAGATTGGAAATCTGCTGGTTTGATCCTGTAAGAGATGAGATGTGTGCAAAGAAAGGAAGTGGCTTGATTGTACATGATAGTGTTTGTCATTATATAATACATGATAAAAGCACATACATGATTCAGTCTGACAGCATTTTACTGTTCACCTGCGGAGGGAACGGAGGCCGGCGGAAAAGAGAGGGGACGAGACTGCTAGAGGAGAAAAATCAGTGATATGGAGGATGTGAAGGATAATGGCGTGGAAAAATGCACAGAAGGAAATAAACCCAGAGAGAGAAAGAAAGAAAGAAAAGTAAGGTGGTATGTAAATGAATGGCATGTTAGCACAGTAAAAGATGTATGAGCTCCATTTGACTGCCAGCTCAATGACACTGATGTGGTGGTCCCTAAGTCCTCAGGATTATAGAGAAGAGCCGAAAGTATTCTTAAATCTCCCACAAATGATACTGTTATAGCATAGCCTAATATTTAATTCTCCACATGGCTTATTACGGGCCTTGAACGCGCAATTGTAGTCTACAGTATGTGATGGCAACAAACAAGCCTGTGTGCTCGCATCCTTCGAAACATGTAGTTTTGATACCATTGCTATATCCCAAATGTCCGCTGCTTCTATTTTTGATGAGGTACAGCTACTCAAGTCTAAACATGTACTGTATTACAAATATGTTTACATGCATTGCGAATGAGGCTTCATAAACTGGCATCCAGACAGGAGCACAAACACTGAGGTAGATGTAGCTTTACCCGGAGTTTCGCCTGCCATGCAACTGACCTTTCTCTATAGTGCTTATTTTTATTATTATATTTATTATGAATAAAAATAATTATTTGTCATTTCATTAATCATTAAGCCTATACACATGTATCATATATATATATATATATATATATATATATATATATACATACACATACAGTACATTACTGGTCAAAACTTTATTTTATTTACATTTTTTATATTTTTGAAACAAGTCTCTTACGCTCAACCAAGGCTGCATTTATTTGTTAAAAATATCGTAAAACAGTAATATTGTGAAATATTATTACAATTTAAAATCAGCATAGAATGATTTCTAAAGAATTGTGTGACACTGAAGAATGGAGTATTGGCTGCTAAAAATTCAGCTTTGCCATCACAGGAATAAATTTAAAATATATTAAACAGAAAACAGTTCTTTAAATTATTGATGGGGAAACTCAGTCCTAGAGGTGTTTAGCTCCAAGCCTAATCTGACCACCTGAACCAGCTAATCAATCGCTGCATCCGAAATCGCTTACTGTCAGAGTAGGTACCGCATTTGAATTTGAAATTACTTCATGACTGTTAAAAACAATATGCTTTATGAATATGGGTAGCATGAAGGAAATTCTGACGTACTACATCCACCATGTTGTTACTGTCACATGACCTACCAGCCAGATCACTGCCATTCATAAATTCTCTCCCGTGGCCTCATGGGATAGTAAAGTGTCCATTGTATGCACACCTTAGAATCTGTCTGGAAGCAGTGGGTCACCGGGTACTTTTCGCCTACTGTTTTTCGAATACTATACGGTTGGTTTTTCGCATACTATATAGTAAGGAAGCATTTGATTTCAGATGCAGCGAATGTCTATACTATAGGATTACTAGAAGGCTACTTGCAGTGCTGGGTAGATTTGTTAGTTGTAGTTAGTAAAAAAAAAAATTACTGAGTAACGTAATCCATTACATTACACATCTATGGTAACAAAATCGGACTACTTTTAGATTACCTTTGACCTAACTCGTTTATCACATTGATTTGAATAGGATAATCTTGTTAAAATTGATAAAAAATACAAAGAGATAAATATATATTCCATTCTTTGTTATCAACAATATAAAGTGCATTAAATATTACATTACTTCAGGGTTTCCCAAACTGGGGTTTGTGAGTTTAATTAAAAGCCATTAAGTAAATGTAAAATTAAAACAAATCACTTTATAATAAAAAACCATCAAAATAAAACACATCAAATTTAAAAATATATATATATTATTTGTTCATCTGCTTGTAGTATGGAGAATCAATTAATTATGAATAATTTACTGCCATTGTGAGATTAAAATGTAATAATGTATCCAATAAAAAAAAGTTATATAATGTAAAACAATGTAAATGTAATATAATCTTATTACAAGTACTTCATTTTTGGAATCTGATTACGTAATCCAGATGACATGTAATCAGAGTTACTATCCAGCACTGACTGCAGGCAGGCGAGTTTTATCAGGGTTGGAGATAAACTCTGCAGGACAGAATTTGCCCATCGCGGTTTTAAATTGTAATAATATTTCACAATATTACAGCATTATATTTGACTGTATTTTTGATTAAAGTCCCCCTGTGGTGAAAATAAAGTTTTTAAATGTTGTTTATATGTCTATGTGGTGTTTTTAATATGCTTTAAGACAAACCATGTGCAAATTCATCAGTCAACACCATTGCGGAGTATTTTCTCCTTAAAACTGCATTGAACCAAAGACAGGCTCAAAAACGCTGTTTGAAATCGCTGTTGTTTCTTACATCACAAACTACCTTGTAACCAATCACGTTAATGTACTAGTTCAATGTAATCGAGGGCTTTAGCATATCACTAACTATGAGCGCTCTGAAGCAGTGGAGTCTCAAGAGAAGCCAGGTTATCCCGGTATATTTTTCTCTTGATATGAAACATTTCAATCTCTCTACATTTAGCAATATAGCAGGTGAATTATGTATATGATGTATATTACAATGTTATGATGAACTATATGCCTCTCACTGACATTCTGAATTGTTCAAAGCGTTTCTAAGGACACTGATTTTTAGAAGGCAGCTGTCTGACTCTGAGATGGCGAACGGGAACATGGTTTATGTAACATTAGCAACACATTATTAGCTGTTTGAGAATGTAGTCAACCAAAAGGCTAATCATATTAATTACTGTTATGTGACCGACGATACGTTAAAGAGCGATACCATTGTGCAGTGTTTACTACAGTAAAGTTGACAGAGTGAATCTCGGGCGTGAATGAGTGGAGGCGGGGCTCATTTGCATATTTATGGATCCGCATATATTAAATGAAGCAAGGGTGTAGTTACGTTCAAGCTATTTTAAGGCATGAAGATTTTTTTTTTATATTTGTCATTTTGGTGATCAAAGATGAGTTTTAAGGGATACAATTATAGGGACTTTAAATAAATGCAGCCTTGGTGAGCATAAGAGACTGCTTTCAAAAACATAAAAGAAATAATTATTCTTAAGTTTTGACATCCTTATATAACTGCTAACTATAAATCGCCTGACTTGTTTTAAAAAGTACTTTAAACGCAATTAACCACAGACAAAAAAGGGGGGAGAGCATTGGAGGACAGGAGGTCTTTAACAAAGCACAAGTGAAAGAAACTAGCAAGCATGTGTGTATGTGCGCGTTTGTATGCATTTTTAGGGTGGAGGCATGTGAACACTTGCCTGTTTTTGCTGTGATCCTTCTTTTCCTTTGCCTTTCTTGCCATGTTTGCTAAGGGGAACAAAAATACAAAAATTGCATAAACAATGTGGCCATCTGGTGGATGGAGAACTCAAACGAACTGCTTGTTTGCTACAGTAGTTGTCCTAAAGTCTCATCCTCAAGAATGCCTACAGACCTCCCACAATCCATTTTATAAATATAAGATAAATGGCACATAAAAACAAAACTAAAAACTGTAGTTGTGCATGTTGTGCATTCTTCCTGCCTAAACGTGTGGTTCTGCATTGTGCATATGGCTATGCAAGACTAGTTGGCTTACTACTCCCTAGTTTGGTTGGGGGTTCCATCGATGTATCGCTTATGACGTGTGTGTTTTTGTGTGAGTGTGTGACTAATGGGGATCTGGGCTGTGTCTTGGTAAGAGTGTGCGTGTGAATAGGAGCGTGTGTGTCAAGGCCAGGCAGAGGGTCGGGTTTGGCTTGAGGGAGCAGATGCTCCCAGACTGACCTCATGCTCAAGCTGAACACTCTTCTGGCGACCAGGAAACGCATCAGATAGTAAATTGCCACAATGAGGATCAGCAGTCCCAACACTACGCCAATGATGGCCCCTGTTATCACACCAGCCTGGACTGGAACTACAAAAAAGAGAGAATATAAAGAGAGTTTAGGTCTGCAGATTAAAGGCCTTTTACAGTACTGATTTATTAGTTGCGCTGTCCCTCCCTTAATACACCTGTATAATTTCTTACAGGCACAACTAGATTACTGAAAAATAACTGCAAACAACATTAATCAATGTCCACCTGGAAAGGCGCTTATATTCCCCCTCCAAAAAAAAAACGGCTTAATCCACAAATATTGTGCTCAGAAGTTAAACCTATTGTTTAAAAGGGAAACAAGGGGGGAAATCAAAAGCACCTGTGCAAAAAAGTATTTATTTGATGAATAAGGCTCTGTGTGAGGCATTTGGATCCAACAATGGCTATTTTTCACAGAAATTGCACTCTCTGAAAAAACAAAAAATGCCCAACTACACAAGGAAACCACTCAGGTCTCTGCTTTACTGTTGTTTTGCTCTTCCATTAGCAGTAAACTTTCATCTCCTGCCATAAGATCTCACAGATTTTGTATGCCACCCTGGAATAAAATAAGCCTAAAGGCAAAAATCAGTCTTAGCAACTGCAGCATGAGGCGAAAGCAAATGAGGAATCCAAATGGTTTTCTTGTATAGCGTGTTTCTCTGCAAAACTGGCATTTTTTTTTAATCGTCTTTTTTTATTAGTGAATGAAGACAAAAATGTTCATAGAGATCGGTTACCCTTCTCAAACACCAGCAGTCGAACGCTGGAGGGGTGGCCGGCAATGTCAGGTGGGTTCTTGGCGTCACAGGTGAAGGTTCCATTGTCTTCGAAGTTGACATTCTTGATCAGGATAGAACCGTCACGGCGATTGGGGTTCCCCACAAACTCCAGGCGGTCCCGGAACGGGCCTTTGTTATCCTGGTAGGGAGCTCCGCCTGCATAGTGGAAAATCTAAACCAGGAAAGAACGCTTATTTTATCATCACATATCTCATCCTAAAATGTAATATATCAGACATGATTATATCAACTTCAGCAATTAAAACGTAACCAGTGAGTCTTAACAGCAAAACAGCCTATACAGTGTAAACTGTAAACTAATTTACGAATCAAATGAAGTCATGCTATTCAAACCACTCAATTGCATTGCATGGTGAATAAAATTAGATTTTGAACTACAAGAATTGCCAGTATGAAGAAGCATCCACAAATGAATGAAGCTGGTCGGCCAACTCAAAGAATCACACAGCGCAGTACAATTTGGAAAGCAGACTACACCCACAAGGGCCTAATATTTCTATTTGCATGGCGATTATCTCTACAAACCACACGGACACATGGATATTATTCCCAAGGGGTGAGCATGTTTTCATACAGATTTGTGTTACTGTACATTACCAGTACACACACACACACCTTTTAACAGGTTTAGTAAAAATGCAATCACACTGTTAATAATAATTGGCTTCATGCTGTAATTGCACATTAAAATAATTATTAAAAACTTGTAAAACTAAAGTAGCTGCTCTCATGGATTGCCTTTTTAATTTTATTTTCAGATATTTTGGAATATAGACCAACATTAAGGTATCCAGCTAAATAGTTTTATGTGAAAATGTCCTTTATTTGTTGTGGTTAAAATGTTTTGGTTGCTTTGTCTGCTGAAGAATGCCTGACTATTAAGAAATAATTGCAATGTTTAACAAATAAATGAACTAAAATGTAGGAGTGTGTTAAAATAGCGAGTTTCTGCGTGCGCGCGTGTGCATGTTTCTACGCACTGCGATGCCCTCTTTAGCCCTATCTGCACGATAATGCCATGAGAAGGTCACGTCTGGAGAAGTCCACTGCCAGGAGAAGAAAGAGCAGGAGAGTCTGACATCTGTACCCAGCAAAGCATGTTTCTCCCAGCTTGTGTACACAACTATAGCCGTGGTCTGAGAGGCTGGAACATACAAAAACAGAGCGAGGAATATTAGCCTACATAGGGACACAAAAATGTAAAAATAAAACTGCAATGGTAGAAATGTTAAATTCAAATGTGAAATGATACAAAATAAAATCTGTTCGATAAAAAGTTTGAAAAGTCAGCAATGTTGCACTAAAGGATTCTTTTAAATGATGGCCACATATATTAATTTTCACAAATAAATATAATTATTATTAATCAAATTATATCCAAGTATATAAATAATTGGATCATAAATGTAACCTTTTTTTCTTGATTTCCTGGATGCAAATGCAAATATTAAAAACCATAAAACACACAAACACAATTTTTTACATCTATTTTTAAAGACTGAGGAAAAATAAATACACATATGATAATATAAAAATGTAATATTTGTATTTTTAAGATATTCTGGTAAGAAGCTTTGTGAGTATTTCAGGTAGGCTACACATTAGAAAGTATTAAAAAGTTCAAATTCATCAAATTGAGAGCCAACACAAAAAGAAATGGAAAGATTCTCTCTATTCTGACTGTGTTTGGTTGACTAAGGTCCTTTCTGATCTACCTCATCTCTCAAACCTGGACAGTCTTGAACAGGTAGGCATCAGGTGCACAAAACACAGGTGAGTCTGAACACACAATAATACTGGCATGTTGTACAGAAGCTAAAGTGAAGGACTTCTAGATGTTTTCTGGTTAGTTTGGTTCAAAGTTGGTATGCCTTGTTGTTACAAAGTAATGCAATGCAAGATGGATGAAATGTATTTACCTATGCCCAAGAGCACCAAGGACGTCAGTGCCAGTACAGACAGCATGATCTCCCTCCGATCTCCCCGCAGGTCAATATGTAAAGGGGTTCCGAGAGAGCGAGGGATGGAGAAAGGAGAAGAGATGGAGGGAAGAAGGGAATGAGACCAGAGGGCATCAAGATGAGACTATTCAGTCCTGGACTTTAAACCCAACCACACCCCAAACTTAAGCCCCACCCTCACCACCTCATTATCTCTTGCCTTCTCTTTGGCCCCGTCCCTGATAGGACAGTCTCTCTCGCTCTCTCTCTTTGTCTCCTTCTAAAAGACTGTCTGTGAACACGACATAGAAAAGGCGAGTGATACAATAACCTGAGAATGAATCCTCTCTCTCGTTCCCCAGCCAGTTAATAAAAGCATCACAGCATCTGTTTAACAAGGAAAGATCAAATTTGAAGGACAAAGACACTGCAGCAATAAAGAATCTCTAAGTGAGTCAGATTATATTTGGACTTCTGTGTATGTGTGTGTGTGTATCTGTGGCTTAATAGTCTGATACCTCCTTTCTCCTTATCCTGTCACGGTTGAGTGCCGTTTGTCTGTAATCCTTCCTCTCTTATGCAGATGATTCGGCTCTATAAACAAAACATACCCGGAGAAGCTGTCGGTCTGAAAACACAATGAGCTGCAGGTCTTTTCCATCTCACCTGTCCTGACCTGGTCGCCATCTGCCTGCCACTCATATTCACATTACAGAAAAGAAGATGGACTTAAAGGTGAAGGGTGTAATTTATGTGCCGCAAGCATCACCAAAATGAAAAAAAAAAAGGAATAATACTTTCAAACAGGTTTTCAGACCATTCCCCTGTCTGTCATTATTCAGACAAACAGGTTTTCATTCCCTAAATGGTTTAGCCAATGCTTACAAAGCAAAGTTTTGATAGCGCCATTGTGTTTAGACTTCCGGGAGAATCAACCTACCTTAATTTGCATATTAAACTGGACCACCACTTTATCTTTAACCATATAAACCCCACATATATTATTTGATATATGTATTTCTAAGGCCTCAACATGATCGAAACTGAAAAACCTGTTTACACAATCTACAATGCTTTCTGCCCTGTGATTGACAATTACTTTTTTAGTCAGTAAAAGACCTTTTAGTATAACTCTAAACATTTCCACTTTTAGATCATTATACTCGTCTTTTTGCTGTGGGAAATTGAATGATTTTTATACAGTAAATGTAAAAAATAACTTTTAGATTGTTAGTAATATTTCAAGGTGACCTTTTACTGGACTGAAGCAACTTGATTATTCACACATGCAAGTATCAAATATGACAGACTTTTGCGGATGGTTTATTTGAAGATCTCTTTAATAATTATATTGCATTGTTTTGAATAATAAAAAAAAGTTTTTCCTCGAGTGTGAGCTCCTCTATATATTAGCCATAAAAGCCTGAAGCATCACATATGATACAAAACATTTAACACACATGCAAACTTTTTAAAAAGATTTTTAAATTATATCTAAAGTCTAAACGGTTCCATTAAAAAAGACTTTATGGGGTTAAAGTGATAGCTCACCCAAAAATAACATTTTTCACAGCTTCATTCCGTACCTTTATAGCTTGCTTTCTTCTGCAGAAGATAAAAGAAGACATTGATGAATGTTGGTAACATTGACTTCCATTCTATGGACAAAAAAACACAGAGATATTCATTTTCCAAACAAAAAAAGAAAGTCATAAGTTTGGTACGACATGACATTGAGTAAATGACAGATTTTTTTTTTTTTTTTCGTTTACATTTGGCAGACGTTTATCCAAACATACATTGTATTCAAAGCATCCATCTTTTCAGTTCATGCATCCCCTGGTAACTGAACCCATGACCAAGGCATTGTTGGAGTTATGCTCTACTTGTTGAGCTACAAGAACTAACCCTTTTACAACTACATCTTTAACAACAAACAAGTTCAATGAATGCATGATGATGATAATATGACATCAAGGAGAAAAGCAAGGCGGGGGCAAGAGAGAAAGACAGGGAGAAAGAGAAAGTCACCTCCTGACCCTGTTTCTCCTCTCGCTGCCCTTTCACCAGGACAAGCTTAAGAGATGAGACAAAGACATCTCTTTCTCCATCTCTCCAGATTCCTCTCCTCTGCTGACGTCTTCCAGACACAACAATACAGAAAGAGAGACAGACAGAAGGACATGGGGTGAGCGGGCGGGTCTAATTTAGAGCTGCTTTCTTTCTCTTCCACCATCGTTCTGTCTGTAGACAAAGGTTTGCATTCTTTCCTCCTCCAGTCTCCCACCCACTCCTCTTATTCCAGTAAGACGGCAGTAAAACGGACAAAACATATTAGAAACGGAAGATATAAACACATGGGTTGATATGAGGACACTGGCATAACAATATGACTGGCAAACTGGATAAAGGAAAATAGGGCACCCTTCTCAAATGTATTTTGGTCCCCTATAAGATGCTTTACCAAATTGGTGTGCGTATCTTTATTACTTAAAGTCGGGAATGATATCAAAACTGACAATTCTTGTTTTGTATGGAATATTGCAGTATTTGTATTCAATGATTTATCTGTGCACATCTTTCTTTTTTTTTAATTCGCGGGCATTCTTAATAAGGGTGGGGCAACCTGTCACTCACATGACATCACAATAGCAAACCAAAACCATCCAAACAATTCCCGGTGGATAAAATGAAGTCCGTCCTACATTTTTTTTTCTTGTTCAAGAAGCCATTTCACTGGGATATACGTCACAATGTAGGGAAGAAAAGATAAACAAAAAGTTAAACTAGATTAACTGGTGAAAACGTTTAAAATATCAATGTAATGCCATCTGATGCCATCAATGGCACAGTAGATTTTGTATTAGTTTATAGGGGAATGACTAGGTTTGACCATTTACTGCTAAGCAAGCTAGCTAGGAGTAAGTAAACAAGTTAAAAATGCAACCAATGACAGTTTACTCAACTGGAGAAATGTAATGATACACATACACAATGGTCAATGGCTAACAAAAGCAGAGGAATATGTAATTTCCCCTGGTTTCCAAGGTTACAGATCCCTTCTCCATTCTTTTTTTTTTCAGTTCAGATCTACAGGGACTGTGAACCTTATTAGACATTTCCGCAAACATGCCAGTTTAGGCATTTTTGGCCAATTTACTGTAATCTCAGAGGGCATACAACTAAAAACAAAGGGACAAAGAAGAATAAACAACTCAAAGATGAGAACGCATTAAAACAAGGCGATGCAATCGAAGTAACGCTAATGCGAGTATATTAGACAATGCTTGTTTGTTGCATACGGATGGAAATCAAAGAGCATGACCACAGTGTTGACATTGGGTTTGACTTTGACAGCAGGACCAATCAAAATGCACCATCAGCTGAATCCCAAATGAGAGCTATTGGAACACACAGTCTTGACTGACAGCTGTAGAATGAACGAAGGGAAAGAAAGACAGGCTGGAGAAAAACCTGCAAAAGAGAGAAAATTGAGAGTAGATAAGAGACGACTGTGAATGTGTGTGACGCACAGACGCAAAAAAAACAGTATACATGAGAAAAACCGCTGAAGTGTAGACTAATGTGAAATGGAATTGAAATGATTGCATATCTGCTTTATATACTGCTGAAGGAACCTTTACAAATAACTGTAAAAATATGCAAAACCACCGCAAAGATTTGCCTGGGAGCTTTGAAGGGAAGGTCATTTTATGTCAACCATACTGAAACATTATCACTGTTTTATATACATGTAGGTGTTTTACTGGTATTCATATACACACGCTGCGCTAATCATGTCTGTGCTTAACACGACATTTCAAACCACACTTAAAAATTAAGGTTTCTAAAGGGGTTTTTGTAGCGATTGCAATATATAAGAGCCATTTTGCGTTTCCTAAACTAGAGAACCTTACTTTGAAAAGTTCTTAAAAAGAACAATTTTTTTTTCCTTTAGTGTGAAGAACATTTTAATAATCTTTTTCCACTATAAAGAACCTTCAATCCAATGGAAAAACCAAAGCCAAAAAAGAACCTTTACTTTTAGAGTGTGGGCACAACAAAATAAAAAATAATAATTATCAAATTTAGCTAGATCTTTCACACAAGTATTTTAACTTTATTATTATATTTTATTTTTGCAATGGCTTTCTAGTCCCAATGTGGTTTTTGATCATGTTCCACTAACATTTCACAACATAAAAAAGTTGCAATACTTTTAAAATTGTTATTATTTTAAACCAAACAAACTATTAATTCTACTATTATATAATACACATGCTTATCTATTTATGAGTGGTTAAACCAAATACTTTTTGAGGCCATGCAGTGTACATTATATCTGATGACATTAAGCCTATATGTCACCAAACAGAATACACACACACACTCTCTTTAGCCTTAAAACTGTCTGACATCATCAAACTAAATCCATGGACTGTTGCAGAAACACACACACACACACGCACTCCTAATGGCAACAGAGCTGACATTCAGCTGGGTCACGTCGGGACAAAGCAGCGATCTGTCTTTTCTTCCTCCCTCCATTCTACCCTCGGCTCTTGTTCTCACATGGCAGGGATGTCACAGGGAGCACCAAAACAAGGGATGCAGGGAGAGAGAGATGAAGGGATGCAGAGGAGGGGCACAAAATGGAGAACAAAAGCATTGTTTGGACTCAAAGATGAGTTATTGTGCTGCGGAACCGTGTGTTGGAGTAGGAGTGAAGAATTGGACGGAGAGAGAGAAATTTGGGGCCATTGTGGTGTTACACTTTCTCTCTGCCCCCTGTCAATGGAGGAGGACTCGTTTGACACATTCCACCGATTTTCTTGACCTGAAACACTCTCGGGAGTGTTTGAAACTGTTTGCTGATAAGTTAGTATGACACACGCGGCCCTCTGGGTGGTGAGCGGTTTATTTACCCTGAGGAAACAAGACTCTGGCAGCGAGACATTTGAGTTCTTTCACACACATTTTCTATTCCATACTCAAAGAATACAAGCTTAGATCAGTCAAGAATGAAAATTGTCATTTACTCACCCTCATGTCATTCCAAAGTCGTATATCCCTATTTGGATCATAAAAGGGAAAATTGTGAAGATTATGTTAGTCACTCTCCTCCATACAAAACAGGAACCGAAGCTTTCATGTTTCAATAAGAACACTCAAAATAATCATAAAAGTGGTCCATATGACTCACATGCTATATTCCTTTCAGAAGTCATGATTATGTGCATAATGTACAATTGTGTGAGCAAGACTAAAATTTAAAAGGACAGTTAAAAAAATAAAAAATAATCTGTCATTTACTGTCATTCATGTCACACCAAACTTGTATGACTATTTCTTCTGCAAAACAGACATTTTCAAGAACATTTCAAAAATGTTTGGGTGACTGCTCGAACAAGTAAAAAAAGGCCTTCGATGGTTGATTACTCCTCACAAAACACTCAATTTAAGGCTATGCTTAGAATGGAATATTAGCAATTTTTAAAAATAGTATGTGAAAGTACCCAATAATAATAAGCAATAAACATTTTAACATGTGCATTACATTGTCATGTTTTTGTGTACACCTTGTCCTTACTGTTGGCAGTTCAAGCGGAAATAGGAAATTAGAAATAGGAGATCAAAGTCAAGCACATTGGATTATGGGATACACTTCCACGCAAAATGTAGCAGGTCATTTCAGGTACTCTCTGCAAAAATAAAATTCACATATTACTCTCCAGTGTTGGGTAAACTATTAAAAACTCTTCTAGTGAAATAATGCTGAAATAAACAAAACATAAATATTAGATGAACAACTGCCACCTAACTGAAATAAAATGGGTTTAAGTTGAAGAACTAAAATGACTAAATCCATAGTATAAATTAAAGCATATTTTATAAAAAGCACAAAACAATTCCTAAAAGAAACTAAAATGACAATAAAAGCAAATCCAATAATGGTAATAAATACTATAATTATAGATAAATAACTCTCAGTAAACATGCTGCATAGTAACGGTAGTATGCCATTCTGATCCCAGCCTCTAGCATGACTAGATTAGTTCTTAAGATTCCAGTTAATAAAAAAATCATGTGGTTACAACACGGCCCCTTACTAATAAACAGCAAAGTCATTTAGCCAAATGCTTCAAGGCTCTTAAAATCAATGTTCTTATCTGCAATCCAAACCAAGCAAGTAACATTCACCTCATGGGCCATTTTAATGAGCACTAACGGTTGAATTATTAATACTGTATTAATTTCACATTAATTAAACTCGTATTAATTCATTGTAATTCCTCTCTAAAAGACTTAAACAGATGGATGGAGCCTCTCCCATGCACACTCACTATTACAAAAGTGTCAAAGCAACATTTTAAAATTCTCTTTACAGTCTTAACTCAGACAGAGGCAGTGTCAAAACCTGCCAGGCTCATTTCAGAGAGGGTGAGCAAATAGTGAGGAAAAGAAAGGGAATTCTTTGAAGGAAGAGATGGAGAGTACAAAACCGAGTGATGGAACGAAAGAGCTGGATAATTAAATTTTCCATCTTTGGTCACTGACAATAGAACTATTGACCATCAATTCATTGGAAACCCGCTATGCTAAAGACACACTTCAACAATAAAGCACTCACATGATCATCTGTGTTTAGACGCACTTAAAACAGCATATTATTAAACTGGAATCCGTAAGCTTATAAATGTGTGACACTAGACCACGAACAGAAAAAAAACACACATGTGATTGCATGTGAAGAACACAAAACAGACAAAAACCGTGGTGACAAATACCCAAGGCAAACAATTAGTGAAAAGCAAGTGTTTATTTTCGCTCTGTATAATTGAAAGACTATTTACATGGACATTTCCATTTTTCATTAAGTCTCACAATATCACAGCATTAAAATTCAGCATGTTAATATGCAACAAAATATTGAAAAATCCTCCATCGACCAATTGGAATAAGAGTAGCTGACAATGGGAGCGAATCAGACCGCAGAGATCAATAGTAGTCCTCCAG